AAACTGTGACCAGGCTCTGAAGACAGGGAAACTAACATCTGCTTGGAATATGAGAGCAGCTGTTTTAGCATCAGAAAGTACAGAAGAATAACCAGGAAAAAAAAAAAAAAAAAGAAAAAGAAAAAAGCAGAAAAGTACAAAGGATACCAGAGAGAGAGAGCTGCAGTAGATAGGAAAGGATGCAGGAGTCCTTGTGTCTGTCAAGGTTAAATGTTGACTTATATCAGTGCAGTAGGTTCTGGAAATAAGAACTTTTAAAGAGACTTTCAGGATTGTTGAATTACCAGATTCTCCCTGATTTACCAGTCTAGGTCCCACATAGTCTTTATGTGCTGGCCAAATATCCACTGAAGACAGTAAAAGATTCCATTTAGCTTTGAAAGAAGCTAAAAAAGGAAGACATTGCTGTACCCACCTGTATTGTCTTTCTGATTCCATTCATCTGTCCGCATGGGGTTATATTTGCTTGTTCTTCTGGTTCTCATCAGTAATTTGCTTCTGACATTGGCACTTTCTCTAAGAGACTAGATATTAGTACTCTCAATTACTTTGATATTTTTAGAGTATTACTGGATTAGCTATTTTTTTAATACAAAATTTTATGATCTTAACTTTCTCTTTAAACATTTCAGGAGGGAAAAAGAAAAAAACAAACAACATGGATATCATGGTGTTTCAAGTTTTTCAAGTGTTTCAGCTGAGCTGTGGGCATTGACCATAGGCACATTTCTAGCCCCCTCCAAATGCTTCAAAAGCATGTTAACTTAATTGAATTTCAAGCTAGCACATTTTTCTTTGTATTTCTGGCAGGCTAAGAGCTAGCACATGGTCAATTACACTCTGGTCTGCTATCATACAGTAATTCGATCAGCCATAGCTCAACTGTTTCATTGAGCCCTGAAACAGACCTTCCAAAAATCTTGAATGAATAGTGCAAAGCAAGGGTACCTTGACAAATATGTCTATAATAAGACAAAATTTCCGAAAATTTTGTGATAGCTTATAAGAAAAAGTAGTGGTGCCTTTGACATTGAACAGGTTCCCGAGCAGAACCCAAATTTAGAAGATACACATGTAAAGTAATTTGGAACTTTATTCAGTATCAGCTTCTTCATCACTGACATCGATGACTCATCTATGACATTGATGCTCAAGTGCACCTTCAGCAAGATTTGCGGTGACAACAAACTGAATGGTGCAGTTGACACATTAGAAAGAAGGGATGCCACCCAGAGAGGTCAACAGACTTGAAAGGTGAGCCCATGTGAACCTAATGAGGTTCAACATAGCAAAATGCAAGGTTTTGCACTTGGGCTGGAGAAATCACCAATATGTATACAGACTGGGAGAAGAACTGCTTGAGAGCAGCCCTGCAGAGAAGGACCTGGGGGATGAAAAACATATCACGAGCCAGCAGTGTGTGGTTGCAGCTCAAAAAGCAAACAGTATCCGGGGCTCCATCAGAAGAGGGGTGGTCAGCAGGGACAGGCAGGTGATTGTACCCCTCTACTTTGTTCTCTTGAGACCCTATCTGGAGTACTGCGTCCAAGCCTGGAGCCCCCAGTACAGGAAAGATGTAGAGTTGCTGATGAGGGTCCAGAGGAAGGTCACAAAGATGATCAGGGTGCTGGAGCACCTCTCCTACAAAGACAGGCTGAGGGAGCTGGACTTGTTCAGCCTGGAGAAAAGAAGGCTGCAAGGAGACCTCATTGCAGTCTTACAGTATTTAAAAGGGGATTATAAGCAGGAGGGAAATCAACTTTTTACAAGGGTAGACAATGACAGGACAAAGGGGGAATGGTTTTAAGCTCAAAGAGGGAAGGTTTAGATGATTGGATGCCAGGGAAAGTTCTTTACAGAGAGAGTGGTGAGGTGCTGGAACAGGCTGCCTGGAGAGGTTGTGGGTGCTCCATCCTTGGAGGTGTTCAAGACTAGGTTGGATGGGGCCCTGGGCAGCCTGGTCTATACCAGATCTGGAGGTCGGTGGCCCTGCCTGTGGCAGGGGGTTGGAACTTATGATCCTTGGGGACCCTTCCAACCCAAACCATTCTATGATATTCTCCCTGGCAGATTAAAATGGGAAAATTACTTTTAGAAAATGCCCCTTTTTTATTTCAGTTTTTAATTACTTTGATTATGCTTATGAAATACCTATAGCAGTTTTTGGCTGCTGTGTTTAAAAAATAAATAAATAAATAAATAAAAGAAAGCACCAGAAATTGCCTGAGGCATATACAATGACATAATTACATGTCTATAGAAGCAACATACAGAAAAATGTATTTTTTCTATAGTTAATTACACTGAGCTTGAATGATAGGAAGCCATGAAGAATCAAAAAGGTGCTGTTACATTGCCTACTGCAGGCCAGCAAATCAGGCTATCTCATATTATATATATATAAGGATATATCAGGATGAAAATGTTGAAGCTTTCTGAGCTGTGTCATATGGTGTACGAGGCCAAAAGAAATCACCAAGAACTGGCAGTTCTGTTCCACGGAACATGTTTAAATGAGATCCTTCTTGTTGGCTCTTTTTTTTCTTTTGCATTCTTTCTTTTTTTGTTATTCTCTTCAGGCTTTTTGGTGGTTTTTTTGTTTGTTTGTTTGTTTTGTTTTGAAATGCATTGGCAATTCATAGTGCAGGAGTTACCTTCTTTCAAAGATGTTCGAGATATTAATTAAAAGTCTTTGGGAGGCCTTTTGCTGTTGTGTCTCAGATTGATGGAGAAGTTTCCTTCCACCTCCCTTTGACTCATACAACTGTGAAATGAAAACTAGCAAATCCATGGCCCTTTTGGAAAACATTGCTTCTGTTCCACTTCCCTTTCCTGCAAAAAGAGAACAGTGAGAAGAGTGCCTTCTGTGTCTCATGAGATTGTAAGAACTAATGCAGTAATTTCTATCAAGTGCTTTGGAACCCCTTTACAAGAAGCACAGTCTAAGTTCAACATGTGAACCGCTATTATTCCCTTGATAATGTTTGGTAATATGTTGGGTTAAGTACCATTAATTACAATGCTACTTATGTGGCTTAATCTCAATACACTGTTATAATTTACTGCTTTGTCTATATATAGCTGAACTTTTAATTGGATAATCAAAATTATTTTATTTCCTTCTTGTAACTTCATTTATGAGGGAAATTATAAGCTAAAGAGTACAACAGATTGAGTAATGAACAGTAATAAATTTTTATTTTACTTTGAAAAGCCCAAAAAAAAATTAAAAATAAAAGGTTATAAAAACAAAATAGAAGCAGAAAAGGATATATACACACAAGTATCAATTTCATGCCATGATAAAAACTAGAGGTAACTTTAGGACGCAAGACCATCTTTGATTTTAGTGCAGCAGCGCTGCAACCAAGATGAATATTTTATTGTCTATTAGTTTAATTCTACATTAATTTTAAAACATGATGTGGAGCTCTATTGAAGTTAAGATGTAATAAAATTAACTAAGCATCTACTACTATAGGAAATTTAGAGCATTGGGTTATAAGATTGCTGATGCTAAAGACTTGCAACAAGTTGCTTTCTCTATTGAAGGTATTACAACATTTATTAATTGGAAAAAGGCAGATATTAATTGGTTTCAGGACAATATGCAGGTATTGAGTTTTCACCAGCAGTGGGAATATGATTTTGACATAGATGCCTCTCAAAGTGCTCTGCTTACTGTGACATCTCTAGGAGGCTGACGTTCAGTGTCAGGTTATGTTGCTATATGTAATAAGTGCGTATTGTCTGGCTTCCATTTTGGACCAGGCCTTCAATTTCTTTGTATCAGGCACTTGTGCAAGTTGACTTAGAATTTTTAGAGCATATTTGCAGAAAGACTGTGCTGAATGGGTTGTAAGCATAAACACTTATGTATCTGTCTGATCCTGTGAAGAACTGTCATGAATCCTATATCTTTATCTGATTTTGAATTATTGTTTAAATAAGCTGAAATTGAAGAAGGCAACTGATTTTTTTGTTTGTTTGTAGCATTTGACAGCTGCAAGAAATTGCATGAAAGAAAAAAATATCAAAGGCTTGAGTATCAAAATCTTCACTTACAAGCTACTTTTATTGAGTAATCATGCTTGTTTAATAACCACAGCTTAAAGCACATGACCCATAGGAACAAATAATTGTGTATAATAACCTGTAGCTTCTACCTAAAAATATTCTATCTATCTAGAATTACGTAGAATTACGTAGAATTACGTTCTATCTGGAATTACGTAGAGTTTTAGAATAAATATTTAGTAATTTGGACATCAGAGGAAAAAATGGCCTAATAGAGAAGATAGTATGTATACGGAAGTAATGGTAACAGATCTGGACCAGTGATAACAGATGTTCCAATAGTATGAAATGCTTATTCGTAAAACATTTAATGATACAAAAATTAAGCTTGATTTCAGCATGTTCATATTCTTCTTCTTTGCGCTTTTTCTTTGTGTTTATGAACAGTGAAATTGAGATCCTGAAGATGAGATTCATTTAAGAAAATGAAATTGAGTGTAATAAGAAAATGACTTTATCTTTAGATTGAGATATCCAACTGAGAAACCCCAGAAATAGAAACGAGACCCGTGTAGTTTAAATGACTAGCCACAAAGCGTGACATATGAATTCCAAATATCAAATAATAAACCGAATACTTGAATGTATCTGTTAAATGTATTTGAGAAAATTTGCATAATGAATAACTTCATAAAATTGTAGAGCTGCTGGCAGACAATTTTGCAAACAGGAAGGAAGCTGCATTTACCTCATAAATTGCTTGCAGTGAATAATGTTAATGTTTTAAAGTGGTGAATGAAATTTCCTGAACAATGGAACTTTCCATCCAGTTTATAGAGAAAAATAGTTTAGTTTTTCAGTATGCTTGGATTTTTCAGGTTAATCCTTTAATCAGACAGATAACATGGGTTCTCTGTGTTTTCCTGACAGACCAGCAGTACTCATGGTCGCCTTCTCACCACTTCAATGAAGAAAGATATTCTCCTGCTTCGAGGAATATGAAAGGATTATCTGGCAGTCGCAACCAACCACAGTTATGTTCAGCTCATACTTGTGGCTTAGCATCCCCTGAAGATTGTGAACACACCCACGACCATATTCACCATGGGCAGGAACCAAGGCAATCGTATCTTCTCAGCCCCACGGAGAGTTGCCCGATGGACCACCATCGTTGCTCGCCACGCAGCTCCATTCATTCTGAATGCATGATGATGCCCATGGTAATGGGCGATCACATGTCAAGTAGCACTTTCCCCAGAATGCACTACAGCTCACATTACGACACAAGAGACGACTGCGCCATGTCTCACGGTAACCCTAAGATTAACCGCATTCCTGCAAACCTTTTGGACCAGTTTGAAAAACAACTTCCTCTTCACCGGGATGGGTTTCACACTTTACAGTACCAGAGGACCTCAACAGCTGCAGAACAACGCAGTGAGAGCCCAGGAAGAATACGCCATCTCGTTCATTCAGTCCAGAAACTTTTTACTAAATCTCATTCTCTGGAAGGATCATCCAAGGGCAATGTCAATGGAACAAAGGGAGACAGTCGAGGGGACGATCATCATCATGGGCACCATTCCAAGCATAGCAAAAGGAGTAAAAGTAAGGAGCGAAAACCAGAAACCAAGCATAAATCTGGAATGAGCAGTTGGTGGAGCTCTGATGACAATTTGGACAGTGATAGCACTTATCGAACCCCTAGTGTGGTAAATAGGCACCATGCAGATCATATATCCCATTGCTACCCTGAGGCGCTCCAGGGACATTTTGGGGATCTGTCATTGAAGACTTCCAAAAGTAACAATGACGTGAAATGTTCAGCTTGTGAAGGGCTAGCAATGACCCCTGATAGTAAATATATGAAAAGGAGTTCTTGGTCCACACTTACAGTAAGTCAGGCTAAAGAAGCTTATCGCAAATCATCACTGAACTTAGATAAGCCTCTGGTTCATCAGGAAATCAAACCTTCCTTGAGGCCATGCCATTACCTTCAGGTAAGCAGATTTTCTTAACATTTGTAATGGGAAAAGCAACACAGATGATGCATAGTTGTGAAAATGCAGAAGTCATGTGTCTCTCTGATGATCATCTGTGTCTCACTTAATGCAAATGTTCCATTACAGTGAGAAAACTCTTGCTTTATTCTTTTTCTGTAGGGAATACACTAAATAAATAAATACAGGAGATGTGATATAAATTAGTTTAAGATCAGGAAATTTGTTGCAATCTTCAGAGTTCGTGCTGCACATCCCAATTAAAATCCATAGCTCAGACTGAAAAAGAGGCAGTTCTCCCAGCAGTCTGGAGCTAGAAATAATGTGTCAAGTACAACTGTAAATGAGTGATTTTAAAAGCAGGTGGTGTGGAATCCTATTTTTGTGTTAATTTATTCCTTTCGCCAGGTTGTTTAAGTAACAAGAGAATACATTTACTGGCATACTCAATTGCTTTGTCTTGATGATGATTACTCACAAAGTTCCTTTTAGTGACTGGGTCAATCAAAATCATATTGAGCTGAGCTTCTTTTGAAATCATACCATAAGCTATGCTTGTTAATAATTACAGGAATACCTTGAGAAGATAGGTATTTCAGTCCTAGTACTCAAACTATTTGTGATGTTCCCCACTCTTGTTTTCTCTAGCAGCTCTCACTTTCTCCTAGATTTAAACTCTTAATGTGTTGCTTGCTGCCATTTGCTGCCTCAGAATCATGCAGATGTAACCATTTATGATGCTGCACAGTGATCTGAATCCTGAATTGATAAGGGTTTAAAAAATAGTTCCAAAATATTTCTTTTTGTACATTTACACCACTTACATGGTGTAGGTACAGCAAAGTGCCATGAAAGTATGATTAGCACCTCAGGGCATACAGAGAACTGCAGTGGGAGCTGTGCAGAAAGAGGAAGCAGCTGGGGGGGAACTTCTTTAGCTGTCATTGCCACTGGAAAAAACACATTATACAAATATTCCCCTTGGTAGATTTACCAAGTACAGCCTGCAAAGCCAAAGTTGTTCCGAGTATCTTCTTTTTAATTTCTTTTTAATGAACTTTCGCCAGAATTTAACTGGTTCTCACATTAACACGGGCAAATCTTCACTCCAGATTTATGTATTTAGAGATCTCCAGTTCCTATGGGCTCTGCAAAAGCCAACAGACACAGACTGCTGCCTACTTCTGTGTGGAACTCTCTTCCCTCTGAGCAATAGGGGACCAATCTTACTGAGTCACACTTGAAGGGACAGATCTTTTCAAACACGTATGCAGCCATCCAGGATCAATCTTCCTACTTAAAGAGGGAAAGTTTGTCATCGAAGAGAAAGGAAAATAAATAAGTTGCAACCCTCATAACATTTCAATGCAAATTGATTCCCATTAAGGCTGACAGCTGTAATATTGTTTCATATCCAAGTCCAGTTCTCATGCATGTAAAATGACCTGCCCTGCCCTGGAAGTTTTAAACCAGTTCAATGAGCCAGAACTGGAAGTGTATCTTGTACAGAGACCTCCACTTCTGTCTGTGTTATAAAACCAAGGATGTGGATCTTACATTATGAAGAAATGTAGATTTTGCTGGCTTTTTCCTTAGTGTGATATCCTTATACTTCCACTCATAGAACTCTACATCTTCTGCATCTTTGTTGGGTTTCTTGATTTCCTTTTCATCATGTTTCAAGTCAAACAATTATGTGATTTTATGTTTCCTTGTTTGTTTGGTTGGTTTTTTTATTATTTCACTCTTACAACACAATTTCTCCTTGCAGAAGCCACTATTTTTTACGCGAACCCTGCCCTTATTTCCATCCTTTATCAGCATCCTCAAGTGAATGTGAAACACAGAGCCCAAACATTAACTTCATTACTACTAAGCTTTGGGTCAAGCCCAGTGGCAGGCCTAGGGAACAGGAAAATATTTTTTTACTTTTTTTTTTTTTTTTCCAGAAGTCTTTGTTTTATGCTTTTGGTGAATCAGGGATAACTGCTAGAAAGAAGTTTCATCCAGCAATTAGAAAGGTTCATCAACTGATAGGTCCATCCAATTTAAAATCTGGGAGATATGAATTTAGATTTTTGCTATACCAGAGACTTCCTCTGTGATCTTTGGCTTTAAGCTTCTTTTAAAATGGGATACTAACCATTCTGTAATTCACAGAGATGCTATAGTGTCAATCTGTCTAGACTTAAAGGCTCAGTTACTACAATAAACAATTTATAGCTGTGTCCAAAGCAATAATACAAGGAATTATATGTCATGAATTTTCACTGTGAAATTTTCAATTAAAATATATGCTTGTAGAATCTGCATTCAGTGCGTTGATATCTTTCAGATTGATTGGCTTGCTTATTTACTAGCCAAAGGTCAGCAAACAAATGAAGGGACCCCATTCTGTCAGTGTCCTAGCTAAATGCAAGGGCTTGAAACTTCTCTGTTAAAGGATGCTGCACTGTCACAATGTAATCATTAAGACCAGGGATATAAATCCCATTATTAGCTCTGCCGTGAACTTTCTCTCTGACCCAGGAAATGTAATTTGTTAATCAGCACAGATTTCAATGAATCTGTCTGCAAAACCAGGGAAGGATATTTAACTTTTCTTACAGCAGTGAAAGAAGCATCAGTAAATAATGACTGGATGAAAACAATCACCAGGTTGAGAAATTGAGAAAGGTAGAGAAAGGTCTCAGGATCCCTAGCCAGAAGAGTTTCCTACAGCGCTCCACAATATCTGGAAATGAGAATGTTCTAGGGATTATGAAGTTAATTGTGCAGCAGTGGTTTCCCTGAGGTACATAAGTGTGCAGTTAAGCATGAAGCCCCCAGGTATTTGTTAGATCCTTGTGTTTATAGAATTACAGCACATGTCATTAAAAGATGTTTCTCCTTAGTGATGCCAACTGGATCTGAGTCATTTTTCTATCCAGTGGTCTTAGTTTTTCTTTCAATATCATCAATGAAATATTACTACTTGTGTTTTACACTGGAGAATTTTGGCAAACATTGTTTTTAGCTAGAAGTGCACAGCATTTTCTTAGACCTGTACTTGAAACCACCTTCTGTCTGTCTTGCTCTGAGCTTCCATTTTCTCTTCCATAGTAATTACTGAGTTGTAATTTCCTTAAAACCAAACCTTCAAAGGATTAACAAGGGAAATTGCTTTCTAAGAAACGAGCTTCTATCGTATTCACAGATGATTAAAAACAGGAGAAAAGAGGTGATAAAAGCATCTGTGTATTATATGCTTGAGTCATGTCCTAGACCAGAAAGGAGGCATTTCTTTAACCTGTTAAAGTTCCAAGCTAGCCTTTGGCTCTCTCGTAGGGCTTCTCACATTCCTGCTCTCCCACACACCTTGTAGCTGGAGGGTTCCTGCTCAGGCAGTGTCCAAGTCAGGGGTGGTTCATATGATCATATATATGGTCATACTGTTCTCCATGCCACCTAGACCATTTACCTTATTTCAGCATGGCTGGAATTGCCCTAAAATGGCCAGTTTCAGAGAACAAAATTAGTAGGCATAAAGCTGTATGAAGCTGATTGTTGTTGTGATCTAAAACTTCATTACCAGACCAGATTTGTATCACTCCTGATACCATGAAGACTGGAGAAGGGAGCAGGGATGAGTGGGAGTACCTTTGAGCTCCAGCTAGCTGTTAAACCACCTTAGCTGTAACGTGAACCCGGACCAGCTAGCTAGCACAGCAGTCAGTTCAAGAGCAGAGAGCAGTCATTTTGTAACTGAATACTGATAGCATTTATTAAAATCTTGTGAATGATTAGCAAGTTTTACTTATAGGCCTTCAATTTCAGTTTCTAATGCAGACAAACTGAGCTACAAATGCATTTTTTGTGCACCAAACGTTTTTGTCATCTCTCTCCGTAGGCAGAATAATCCATGGAGATCACACACATATTTTAAGTGTACTTTTGTGTAGCTTTAACTGTAGTGGCTGTTACTGCTCTCCATATCATTTTAATTTTAATGTAAAATATGTAAAGAAAAAAGATAGATGAATTTTGAGAGTTCTTTTATCTTCATTGGTTGGTTTTGCTAATTAGGTTCAACGCATACATAGTGCAATGATGGATTAATTTTAACTTGACATGAGTGAGAAGCAAAGATTTTCAACAGGAAGAAAAAAAAAGTGTATGAACTAGATAGCTGTACAAAACTTATGAATACAGAAGTGTGCCTCATAGTTTCCAGGGCTGAAATACCTGTGAGTGTTAGTTAAAGAAAACTGATTCCTACAGTAAAGCCAAAACACAGCCAAAAGCATAGCAGTTACCATCTCTGAAGTTCTGGAGCACGGTGCTGCCTGTTCCTGATTAATATTCCTCCCTCAGCCATTCAGCAGCCTGTGAAGCAGCAAGCAATCAAGGTAAACATACCACAAGGTACAGTGAATGAGTCAGCAGTGAAAAAGAAAATAGCATGTTGTTCTAAAAATGGCTTCAGCCCACTCCTGTCTTCCTACTGCATTTAAGAACGAGCGTCATCCATTACAGCACTGGCACTGCTAAGCTTGTGGGTAATAATGTCAGCTGTGTACTCCACAGAATGAAAGAGAAACTCAAGAGTTGGTCTCTTAAAAAAGAAAAAGGAAAAAAAAAAAAACACAGCAGTTTCAACAAGGCTCCTTGCTGGTTTAAACTATACTTGTATGGAGAAGAGTTTTGAGGACAAGCCAATGGAGTAATAGGCATTAAGCTCTCAGTTGCATTTTTCCACGAACTCATCTGTGGACACGGCATAGTCCCACAAACTCAATTGCTGCCCTGGAAAGGCACGTGCTGCACTGCATTCCTCCCCTGGTGTGCGAGGATGGGTTTGAACCCAAAGACATTTCTCAGCACTTCATTTTTGAAATGCTGAGAAATGAGACTGTGTCTGTTGGCCCAACATAACACCCATATATGAGCTACAAAAATGACATCCAGTACTCCACCAGCCAAAGCTAGCAGACTTTTGGTACTACTGTCTGAGCCAGTAT